CAAGACAGCTGTAAATGTGAATATGTGGCTACTGTGTGTCAGTTTCACACGGACCAAAAAAGAAATCACAGAAATGCTCAAAACTAATTGCTGTTCAAAATTATTCACAATATCACACTTATAACCACGTAACAATCCCTGAGGTACAAACGCGCACTAACAAGGTCAACCTTGTATGAACATCCCATTGCACTTAAATTGTGTTTAGAGTTAAAGAGCTTAGGTAAAACAACAATGTTTTTTGTAAGAAGGCAGCAGCTGCGTTGCCTAAGCTGGAAGAAATTTGAATGTGTGCTAAGCAGACAGACAAACACACATAGGTTCCCCTGTTTCACACTGCTAATCTAGGCCTTTGGTTTGAGGCACAATGTGTTACTTTCAAGTGCACCGTGACTAAAGTTAGTGGGCAGACAGCACTGCCTGTGGCAAAACACCGAAATACCCTGCATCTCCCAGTTTGTGTGTGCGCGCATGTTCATAATTTAAAGTAAAACCCTCTAAGCTTCATTGTCTCGCGCCCAGGTGCAGTCCAAAATCATTAGCATATTTCACAGGATTTTGCTAGAGGTTTCCTTGGGACATTACCTCTTTAGAGTGCACAATGTACTGCTACATGATTCCCAATAGACCAAAATCACCTTTACACATTAAAACAAATGTTAAAAATTCCTCAGCTTACAAACACTCGAATAACATCACTGAATAGTGAAATGCATGGTCCTGAGGCTGTGTGACACTTTTCAAAAGAGTAGACAGTTAATAATACATAAACTTTACTGAAGAACAATGCTTTTTTCGTCTTGGTCGTGGAACACTGGGCCAGCTCTTTAACCTCTTAAGTATACTTGAGGGTGTGTGGTAATTTGCCAAGCCACTCTACAAGTATTTTGTAGACTTGAAAGCATTTAACTATATCCCTCGGGGTGTCCTCTGGTGGATTTCTCTGAAGTATGAAGTATCATGCCCATTGTTACAATCGCTCACAGTCAGAGCCTGGTTTGTATTGCCGGCAACAAGTCAAACTTGTTTATGGCAGAATTTCTAGACGCAACCAAAATTCCTACGATGCATTTTTTGATGGTCTTAGACTCACGTTTGCTTTTTACAGATGATTTGGTAATCAGTCGGGTTGATCTACTACATTCCCACCCTCACCTTTGCCCACCAATGGCACGTAGTAACCAAATAAATGAGACTGCAGATACAAGCAGCAGAAACAAGCTTCCTGTGAAGTGGTCTGGGCTCTCCCTTTAGAGGTAGGATGAGGAGCTCAGTCATCCAGGAGGGACTTAGAGTAGGGCCACTGCTCCTTTGCATTGAAAGAAGCCTGTTGAGGTGGTTTGGGCATTTGGCCAGGATGCCTCTGGGTGCCACCTAGGCGAGGTGTTTTGCGTATATCTAACCAAGAGGAGAATCTGGAGCAGACCCATGAAACGCCTGGGAGATTATGTCTCTCAGCCAGAATTGGAACATTTTAATATCCCCCCAGAAGAGCTGGAGGCAGTGGCCAGGGAGAGAAAGATCTGGACATCTCTGCTCAGACTGCTCCCCTCAGAATCCGTACCCAGTAAGTCGTAGAAAATGGATGGACTGACCTATAATATACTGTCATTTATGGAAACCCGTTTCTTCAGTAGAATTGTTTCAGTGTTTTAAAAAATGGATTAACAACCAGAATGTGTTATCTACATTTAGGGTGCTTTTTGTGTAACAGGAATATAGTGTAACATGAAAAAGATTGCTCACCACACCCCCATAAAAACTGCTTTTTAAACGGTTAATTACATTATATATCTATATATAAAATAAAGTAATTCTACAATAATGTGCAAAAATCTTGAGCCACTCATCATTTCTTTATATTTTTATAGGAAAATTGGAAAAATATACAATGATTTATTGAGATTTATAGAAAACTTGAACTCTTGTAGGCAATCCTTGACTGATATTGTTCCATTTATATAGATGGATGGAGGATCCCCAACACCACAGACTAAATAACCACAGCCCCACCCCACGACAGACCCTCCACCGTGTTTTGCAGATGACGCACATCCTCACTGTTGTACCTCTCTCTCCTGACCTCCTCTGTTCATACTGACGACAATTTGAACCAAAGATTTTGGATTTACACCTCAGCCATTTCTTCCTGTTACTTTTCTTTAAAAATGGCTTCTTAAAAGCCATTCTCCCACTAAGACCATTTTTGATGAGTCTTCAGCAAACAGTAGATGGATCAACTGAAGTGCCAACTGCTTTTTTCTTAAGCACAAGACTTTGAAATATTGTTCACGTGCTGTAGAAAATGTTTTAGGCCTGCCACATCTTCTTTTTACATCCATTTGTCCAGTTTCCTGATATTTTTTAAGGACATAGTACACATGATGCCAAGACATGACAAGTTTTCAGCAAATAGCTCTTAAGGAATTATCCCGTTGGTCACATTGTGCAAAAATACAAATTTAAATCAAATCAAATCAAATCAAATCAAATTTTTATTTGTCACATACACAGTCATACACAGTACGATATGCAGTGAAATGCTTGGACAACTGCTCGTGACCT